CCCCCCCCCCGCTACTGGCCGCGCGCCCCCACCCTCCCGGGGGCTCCACGCTGGAGGCGGCTGCAGCCGGCGCCCAGAGCCCGGGGTTGCATCCTCCGGCGCGGGCGGGCGGGTGGCTGGGGGCCGGGTCCCGGCCCTGCTGCGCCCCTGGCCCCGGCTCTCTGCAGCAGGGCTGGGTCGGCTCGCGCGCGCGGGCACTTGCGGCATGCAGCTCGCGCCGGGCTGTGTGACAGCGGCAGCGCCGGGCATGGGGCTGGGGAGCGTGCGCGGAAAAGGGGGGGGGGGGGGGGGGGGGGGGGGGGGGGGGGGCCGGGCGCTAGGGGGCGGGGGGGGGCCCGGGGCGGGGGGGGGGGCGGGGGGGGGGGGAGATGCCTGGGCCTGGCTGGTGCATCTTGGCTGCCTCTGCTCCGCCTCTTCCCCCTGCTCCCGGGCTGCAGAGTTCGCCCCCCTTCGCTCCCTGCCCTGCTGAGGGAGAAGCGGAAAGGGCAGCAGGATTTAAGGTGACCCTGGCATGTTCGCTGCAGGGACTGTAGCCGCTTGGGGGTGGAGGGGGGGGCGGTCCCCTCCTGTGGGTCCTTTCCCCATCCCTCCCCAGCCTGATTTCTGACAGGTTCTGCTCCTAGATGGGGCGCGGGGGGTTGTACACGGGCACCGCTGTGTCGTGTGAGCCGTGGAGGTGTGCCCAGGTGTGTTGCAGGGATGTCTGTGCATATAGAGAGGATGCACCTAGGTGTGCAATGTGGCAGTGCACAGGTGTGTGTGCACCCGCACAAAAGTGTGCATGGAGCTGTGCCCAGGTGTGGAGAGGGTTGTGGGGCACAGGTGTGTGGTGGGGGGGGTGCACGGTTGTAGTGTGTGCACACATCGGTGTGTCTAGGCATGTGCCTTTGCGTGGCCATGTGTGTTGGTGAAGACATGCGGGGGGGGGGGGGAAGAGCGTAAGTGTTGACTGCCCAGATCAACGTAGGCAGATTATGTACGGGCACATGAGGCCTGGAGCATGTGTGGATATGCAAGTAGACAGCACACAGGATGCATGTGCCCATAGTTTTTTGGGGGGGGAGCTGTAGGGCACAGATGTGTTGACATGTGCTGCGTACAGGTGAGTAGATGTGAAATGTGCAGAGCTGGTGTGCTGAGTGCTTAAATGGGCACACAGGTGTTGTTTCATGTGTGTAGGGGTGCAAGGGTAAAATGTGTGCACACATTGGGTGTGTACATGCCCGGAGATGTGTGCACATGTACTGAACATCTCCGTGTGCATCCGTGTGATGTCTAGGTGCACATTTGTGTTGTGTGATCATTCTAAATCCGACCCCCTGACAAAGACACCGCCCTGCAGCGGGGATGCTGACAAGGGTCACAGAGTTCCGGCTGCCTGGAATTAGCCTGGAGTCGGGCAGCCTGTTTCTATGAGGGTGCCAGGAATTGTGCCTGGGCCGGTCAGCACAGACCACACGGAGCGACAGAGGTCACATTGCAGCAGGGCCCAAAAACCTCTCAAGCATCAACAGGGTCACAGGGGAGCAGCCTGGCTTTAAACTAGACTGATTCCCATTCCTTAGCCCCAGCCAGATCCCCATCATCTCCAGGGACTTCCTCAGCTGGCAGCTTCCCAGCCCTCCATCTCCTCTGCCGGGGTTGCTACCCAGCCGATGCTATTCAAACCCTGTTGATCATTCACGGCACACAGCTGGGTGGTTTTGCGGTGTGAGCAATTCTCCCCCGGGGGATTGGAACCGCTTTCATTTGTGACCTCGGCACAACAGCAACGGGTCACTCAGACGGCTGGGCAAGGGGAAACACTCAATTTCACAGGCAGGGGGAGGATGAACAGTAAAACCGCACTCCCTTTGTCACAACTCGTGCACCGATATTAAGGCATGGCGTACAGAAACAGCTGGGATTTCTGGGCACTGCTGCCCTCTACTGGAGAATATCCAAACTGATCAATAGTATCATGGTCCCTGTACTGTTTACAGTTACTGGAAAGTCAACTGACAAGAGACAGGCTGGCTAAGTGGTTAGTGTGCTAGGCGGGGACTCAGATTCTTTTCTCCCTTCACCGGCTTCCTGTGTGACCTTGAGCTAGTCAAGTTCTGTGCCCTGGCTCCCCATGGGGATAACTGTACTTCTCCACTTCACAGGGTGCAATCAACCTGCATTAAAGATTTAAATCCTTCAAACCGCACTTAGAGCAGGAGCAAGGCCTCCCTCCTCCCGGTCTAGCCTGCTGTCTGATGAGAGGCCACATTGGTGGGTTTCTCTAACTTAACATTTTGACAGGGAGAGGTTCTTGGCCTATTGTCCACCCCACCCAGAGGACAGTCTGCATCTGGTCGTCCCTCCCCCTTGGACCTGTCCTGCTTGGGTAGCCCTACCCAGGGTTCGGTCTTTCTCAACGTCTGCACAATGTGCCCAGTCATGTGATGGCATCAGCATCAGCCAGGTGGACAGCCTGTAGCCCGCCGTCGAAATAAGTCAGTGGGCGCTCATCAGGGATATGTGACAGTCTGAGGTTGACCGCGGCTGCATGGCGGGTCATTTGGAAAACCCCATTTAGAGAGATTGGCCACACAGCTGCCCTGCCCTGTTCAGAGATGACACCAGGGTGCCTTGGCAGATCAAAAGCTGGTGGACGGATGGTTGGGTCAGTGACGAGGGAGTGATTAACGACTGTCGTCGCTGGCCACTCATTGTGCCAAGCAGATTCCCCCGTCATGGTGGCATAAAGGGCGTCTAGAAGACAGGCGAGCCGGCGGGTAATTGAAGAGATCTGTGTACAAAGGGTGGGTCACTATTAGAAACATAGAATATCAGGGTTGGAAGGGACCTCGGGAGGTCATCTAGTCCAACCCCCTGCTCAAAGCAGGGCCAATCCCCAACTAAATCAGTTTTCTCACAGATCTTGGCCAGCAGCATGACGGAGGAGACCCATGTAGCTCAAGATCACTAGAGGACACAAACCTGCCAAAGGTGCAGGCCGCAGGGAAGGAAAGGTTGTGAGGTCTTCAAGTCCTGGGAGGCAGCTAACTACGATGAACAGAATTGGGGGCAGGGAAGGTTATGCTTCCCTTTGCATTGATGAGAAAGTCATTAAGATGGGAAATACTCCATCACAAATATACCCAAATACAGATCATTGCAATTAATATAATTGTAAGAGGGAATATCCCAGAAGAAATACGCTTTCATACAGATAATTGCAGCTTGCCTTCACCATTAATAATCCCTCAGTCAAGGTACAAGGGTCTTTGCTCATTTGATGCACTTTCTGTACTGAAAAAAACCATCCATCCATAAGCAGGCGTTATGAAACCACAGCAGGCAATGCCTGTCATTGTACAGCGTGGTCTGTGTGTGCTCTGCTCCAGGGCTGCCGCTGGGAGCTGACGGCACGGCCTGGTGGATTGGCATTCTTGTCCCTGTTCCACGCTCACGTTCACCCCCTTAGCACGATCTCACGGTCTGGTCCTACGAAGGGCAGAGCACCCTCCCCTCTTACTGACTGTGGTGCAAGGCCAGGCTGCTCAGCACCATTCAGGATCAGGCCCTCACTCCATGTATTCCTGGAGGGAAGTCCTGAGCCTTTGGGCAGGAGGATAGCACAAAGCCTTCGCTTTTGCCTCTGGCACAATGCCCCGCGTGTACATAGAAATACAGCACAAGAAGAGACCAGGGACCAAATTCCCTGTTGGTGCAAACTGGCACAGGGACGTCAATGGACCTGGTCCAGCTTGCACCAGCAGAGAATTGGGGCCCAGATCTCAGGCTCCTCCCTTCGGTTCTTAGACATAGAGGCTAATTCCTGCCTCCTGACACCCCCCCCCCTCCCCTAGCCAGGCAGAGGAAGGGACCTGTGGCTTTTGGAGCGGGAAGGGCCCTGCGCTATCCTCACTGTTACCAGGACAACGGGGGGCTTGCTCCAGCTTGGTGCCAGAACCATTGCAAACCCCTCTCCTAGGACCAGCCCTGGAGGGAATTCCATGCTGCTGGCAGGTCAACTGCGGAGACCAACATCCTCTCTTCCTACAGAGCCAGGGAAGCACAGGCAGCAGGGAAATCACCCCCACCACCTCCTCCTGGCCTCTCTGCCTAGAGCCCGACTGGCTTGATGGGGACACTGCAGAGTGCGGCCTGAGACCCCACAAATTCATTTCCTAGGAGCCGCTGGTCACGCCGCTCGTTAGGCTGCAACGGCTAGGACCTGCCAGGCTGCACCAGATGCGTGGGCCCACCTAGCTCAGTGTCTTGCCTTCGACTTTGAGCAGCACCAGGAAATTCCCAGGGCAGGAATATCTCCTGCCTGGAGGGAGAGCGTCTCTCACCCTCCGGGCTCCATCCTGACAAAGCAGCGGCTTGGATTCCCACCAGTGACCTAGAGAGGAAAGGCTCAGTAACCTCTTCCCAGCCCCCGTCAACTCATCCATTCCCCTCCCCTCCTAAAATTCAAGTTCTCAGCAGCACATGATGAACAAATTAATGCAAATTGTAAGGTACCATACAGCCAGTGTAACCAGAGTGGCACAAAGGGCATAATTACAGCAGCAGTCGAGATTATGAAGGTTGTAACATCGGGGCTTTGTGGGACTAATGGAAATTAGACCTGTCCATTAAGGCAGTAATCACTAGCCAGGTTTACATGGGTTCCCTCGGTGCCCGGGCATTTATTATTTATTTTATTGTTTACTCGTTTCTAAAGCACCCGTCACCGTATGACGCAGGTGCTCCTAGACGGACGCAGACTTGAGATGTAGCAGCGTCCCCTGATGCTGCTGGTTTG